TCAGTTATCAGTTATCATTTCAGTAATCAGTTATCAGTTATCAGTTATCATTTTAGTTATCAGTTATCAGTTCAGTTATCAGTTATCATTTCAGTTATCCGTTATCAGTTATCATTTTAGTTATCAGTTATCAGCTATCGTTTTAGTTTCTGTTTCAATAGTTATCATTTCAATACCAATTGTCAATTCTCAGTTATCAGCTTAGTTTCAATTTCAACATTTGCAATTCTTTCTTTCAGTTGCATTACATACCAGTGCAATTTAAATGTACTGACGTCCCTTTTGCCCGGGGCCTGCATCTCACGATGCAGGTAATTTACAGGTTGATGATTCAGAGTGCTAGGATTCTCGTACCAGCTATTTGGTGATCCCCAGTTCTTTCGGGGCATTATCATTACTACAGTCTTCAGTATTTTCAGATAGTCAGTGTTTTCGGTACAAATTAGAGGCTTCATAGACTAGAGTGACAGTTAGACAGAGTCTCAGGCTTTTCATGTTAAGCTATGTTGGCTGCAAATATGTTTCAGAATTGTATTAGTATTTCCGCACTTTGATTTATATCATCCAGACTTTCAGTATATCAGTATGTGTTAGTTTATCTTCTGCATTCAGTATGTTATGATACCACATGTTGATTCAGCCAGCCAGTTGGTTCGCTCGATCACATGTAGTCAAGCACCGAGTGCCGTGTTACGTCCAGGCTAGCGCCGGACACCACTGCCAGGCAAGCTAACACCAAGAAGTTAATTAAATTCTCGTTTTAGGATTTATTGAAATTATTTCTTTTATACATTAAACAATAAATAATGAAATTCACTAAATAAGATGATGTCTTTAACAAACTTAATATTGAACAATCCCATAATCATCCCAGAACCCGGTGTCACAAGTGCACGAGCTATTTCTAGGAAATCAAATGAAGTACAATAAATGTCCGAAATACAAATTTGGACAGAAGGTAAATACTATACACTGGAAGAGACTATGCCTGCTGCGGGTCGCCTCGAGAGATGCAGCTCACCTAAGTCTCTGTATCATCCATGCTGCTATGCCCATTAGGCCGCTAGAGGTACATGTGCCTGTGCAACAAAAATGCACAGCAAGTGTAGCATGAGTGTAAAAACAACGTGTACTCAGTAAGTATCCTGTCTAATCTCGAAGAAGTAGAGACGAGAGGTCGACTTCGACACTTACTAGTGGTCCAATAATAATATACCAATAATATAGTAAATCGAGGATTTTCATAAAAATGGTTGTAACTCAATAGCATGGGGCAAATAAACAATTCTTTCGTTTATAGTAAATTCCCAAATTCATTTTCATCATTTGTACATTTATCTAAGGCCAGGGAGTACAATTATCAACATATATGAATCTCAAGGCAAGCAATACAAGCATGCGCAAATCATGCCGAGGTCGTACGGTCCGATCCAACAATATTTAAATTGTGCACTGCCAGAGGGTCGAATGGCGCGAACCATAGATGCATCTATTACCCCGCTCGCAAATCATACATGCGACGCGATCAAATATAAATAAAGAATCACCCCGCTCACGAATCATACATGCGACGCAGGTAAACATAGAATCACACATTCAAACAGTCAATCAAGACTTCATCAGGGAAAGAATTATTCAAGGAGGTGTCAATTTCTCCTTTACAAGTCGAGAAAATGAAGTTTAACTCTTTTAGAAAATCATTTACCACTTCGATACGATTAAAGCATTTTAAACAATCAATAAGGTTACAATTATTACAAGTAAAGCATGCTTTTAGGTCCTAGACTACCCGAAAATAAGCATAATAGTAGCTACGCACGGACTCTCGTCACCTCGTGCGTACGTAGCCCCCACAAATAGAAGCACATATCCAATTAATTCACCTATGGGGACAATTCCCTCTTACAAGGTTAGAAAGGAGACTCACCTTACTCCAAAGTTCCGTAACCGGCTTCCCAAGCCCTTCCGACGACTCAAATCGATGCACCACGCTCAAAAACTAGCCAAATAATGGGCAAACCAATGAAAATATACCCTAATACTTATAACAACTCAATTTATATAAATTTCCGACTTCGCTCGAAAAGTTGACAAAATCGCTCTCGGGCCCACGTGCCCGGACTCCAAAAATTTCGAAGATAAACTTTACCCATAACCTCACGAACTCAAATATATAATTTACTCTCAATTTCATGCCCAAATTCGAGGTTAAAATTCAAAAATACCAATTTCTAGGTTTTCTACCAAAACCCCAAGTTTTCACTAATTTTCCATGAATTTCCATGTTAAAATATATATATATAATCCAAGTAATTAACTTGCAATAGGTGGGAATCACTTACCTTGACATAGATGATGAAGATGGAGCTCCAAAATCGCTCCTAGGTCGTCTCCCATGGAGGAAATGAGATGAAATGAGCCAAACCCATTTTTTCAAACTTATACACTGCCCAGGCGATCCTTCTTCGCATTCGCGAGACACCCACTGCGTTCGCGATGAACAAAATTCTCAAAACCCCTTTCCAAACTCTTCTCAGATAGCCTCTAGTATAATGGCCATAACTTTTTGTACATAACTCAAAATGACAAATGGTTTAATGTTTTGAAAACTAGAGACCAAGATCTAAAACTTTTTTGTTTTGGTCATTTCCCAATTCCTTATAGATGTTGAGATATAAGATGCCAAAGTCAGCCGTGTGCAACATAAATTTCTTCTTCATCTTCCCGGACAACCTGTAGTGTACCAGCCATAACTTTTGGTACACAAATCCAAATGATAAATGGTTTACATTTCTAAAACTAGACACAAAGGGATACAACTTTCGTTTTTAGATCATCTCCGAATTCCTTATAAATTGCGAGATATGAGCCTCCGAAGTCAGACTTGTGCAACAGAGATTTCCTTCTTCGCGAATGCGAGCTTCACCTCGCGAATGCGAAGAACAAAGTCCCTGAAGCCAAATCCTTCTTCGCAAACGCAATTAAATCCTCGCGAACGTGAAGAACAACACCAGACACCAGCATCAGCTATTGTAAAACAGCCCAAAATGATCTGAAACACACCCGAGGCCCCCGGGGCCCCGTCCAATCACACAAACAAGTCCCATAACATAACACGGACCTGCTTGAGGCCTTAAATAACGTCAAACAACATTGAAATCACGAATCGCACCCCAATTCAAGCTTAATGAACTTTAGAACTTCAAACTTCTACATTCGATGTCGAAACCTATCAAATCACATCCGATTGACCTCAAATTTTGCATACAAGTCACATTAGACATTACGGACCTACTCCAACTTCCGGAATTGAAATCCGACCCCGATATCAAAAAGTCCACTTCCGGTCAAACTTCTCAAAAACCTTCAAATTTCTAACTTTCGCCAAATGACCTACGGACCTCTGAATCCACTTCCGGACGCGCTCCCAATACCAGAATCACCATACGGAGCAACTCCCAAACTCGAAATCCCAAACGGACATCGATAACATTGAAATGCACTGCAACCCAAATTTATGAAATTCTTCCAAAATGCCAACTTCCACAATAGGCGCCGAAACGCTCACGGGTCATCCAAAACCCGATCCAGACATACGCCCAAGTCCAAAATCATCATACGAACCTGTTCGAACCTTCAAATCCCGATTCTGAGGTCGTTTACTCAAAAATCAAATCTTAGTCAATTCTTTCAACTTATAGCTTCCGAAATGAGAATTTTCTTTCCAAATCAACTCCAACTTCCCGAAATTCAATTCCGACCATGTGTGCAACTCATAATGCCTGAAGTGAAGCTACTCATCGCCTCAAACTGTCAAACGACGGGCTAGAGCTCAAAACGACCGATCGGGTCGTTACAGAAATAATACTTCCTCAAGATAAACATATTTTAAATGAGATGGGAGAACTTTGAGTTCAGTTTTCAGCTGAACTTGTTCTGGTTGCATCTCCTCCTCTTCAGAATCTTTTTCTAGTATTTCGGCTTCTCTTCTGATGATAGGATCATCATCTTGTATGGTGCCAGATTTGGCCAAACATCTTTCTGTTGAGTCTAGAATCAATTGATCATCTTTGGATTCATCTGTAAGATAATTAATCATGTCAATCTAAAAACATGAAGATGATGTCTCATCTCCTAAAAATCTTAATATCTTTTGCATATCAAAAATGACTCTTTCTTCATCAACTCTAAAAATTAGTTATCCTTGATGGACATCTATGATTGCTCTACCTGTGGCAAGAAATGGTCTACACAAAATGATTGGTTCATGAGGACATTCCTTCATTTCAAGTACTATGAAATCTACAGGAAAAACAAACTTATCTACTCTTACGAGCACATTTTCAATTACTCTCTTAGATTTCTTAGTACTTTGATCTGCAAACTGAAGAGAAGCACCAATGTATTTCATTTCACCAAGATTTTATTTTCTAAAGATAGAAAATGGCATCAAGTTAATTGAAGCTCCAGAATCACAAAGTGATTTTTCAAAATATACTCGTCCCAAAGTGCATGGAATTGTAAAACTACCTGGATCACCAAGTTTTTGTGGTAGCTTATTTTGAAGTATAGCATTGCATTTCTCAGTAAGCATCACCACAGAAACTTCTTCCAATTTCCCTTTACTTGGACAAAATTTCTTTTAGGAATTTGTCATAAGAAGGCATTTGCAAAAAAGCATCAGTGAAAGGAATATTAATGTAAATTTGTTTTAAAATCTCCAGAAACTTTGAAAATTGATTATCAAGCTTTTCTCTTTTCAGTTTTTGTGCGAAAGGAATTGTCACAGGGAAAGGAATCAATTTTTCAATATTGTTTTCTTCTTTTTTCTTGACTTCTTTCTCTTCAGATAGTTCAGAGGGTATTTCGACATTCTTACCGTTGTTTATCTGTTGTTATGACTAGTCTGCATATGGTTCATCAATCTCCTTACCTGACCGTAAGGCGATGGCCTTAAGGTGCTCCTTTGGATTTTTCTCTGTATTGCTTGGCAAGGGACCTTAAATCTTTTCTGACATAAGAGTTGCCAGTTGGCTTAATTGAATTTCCAGATTTTTGAGGGCTGAACACTGGCTTTCCATCTTTTCATCAGCGACCTTAATGTACTTATACAAAAGGTCATCAAGACTTGAATGAGCTTGTTGAGCCCTTTGCTGATATGGACCTGCTTGTTGATAAGGTCTATAGTTTGGTTGCCCACGGTTCTGATTCTGGTATCCCAACGGACCTTGTACTTGTTGGTTCTGGAAGCTTTGAGAGTTCTCTGCACCATTTGGATTGCTCCATAGAAATCCTGAATGCTTTTGTGCCATTGAACTCCCAAAAGGGTACGATTTATAACCAACAGAATGGACATGTTCGTCATTATGATTGTTTGCTTGATATTCATGGTTTAGATGGTTTCCTCCACACATGTCACAAGCCTCGGATTGGCTTGGTTGTTGTGTTTTCACTTGAAAAGATTCAAACTTTTGTTCCAAAGAAACAATTTGCTGCGTTAGTGTATTTAAAGCATCAACCTGATTTACCGTAACAGCCTTCTTGATGATTACCCGCTCAGATGGCCATTGGATGGCATTCTCAGAAATATCGTTCAACAATTGTAATGCTTCCTCTGTGGTTTTTCCCATTACAGAACCTCCTGCTGCTACGTCAATCACATTTCTAGCAGAGGGTTTTAACCCGTGATAAAAAATATACAGTTGCATGTGTTCAGGAATATCATGGTGTGGACATTTTTTTGACATTGCTTTTAATCTTTTCCAAGCGTGATAAACTGACTCAATGTCAGTCTGCAAGAAATTAGATATTTCATGTCTTAACTTTGTGGTTTTAGTAGGGGAAAAATATTTGTTTAAAAATTTCTGAGTCATTTGATCCCATGTGGTAATGGAACCTTGTGGCAAACTTCGCAACCAAGTCTTAGTATCTCCTTTTAAAGAAAAAAGAAATAGCCTTAACTTGATAGCTTCAGGAGGTACTCCATTATACTTAGCTATTTCAACAAGTTCCAGAAAGTCAATTAAATGACTGTGTGGATCTTCACTTGTGTCTCCAGTGAAGATGCAAGACTGTTGAATCTTTTGAATCAGATCAGTCCTGATTTCAAAGTTGTTGTCTGCCACTAGGGGTTTTCTGACACTCGATTCATAGTTGAAGCGGTCAGGTCTAGCATAATCCCTTAGGATTCTGTTTGCTGGCCTTGGTGCTACTTCATCAAACTGATCCTCCACATGGACTGGTGGTTGAATGTCTTCTACTTCTTGATTCTCCATTAATTCACGAGCTATGCTTTGAGAAGAAAATATTTGTCCTTTCCTGCACAATCGAACAGATATTTTAATTTCTGGATCGTAACTAGCCAACTTTTCTGTAGAAGAGCAGGTCATAAACTACCTAAAATTATAAAGAGAGAAAAAAATATAAATTAATAATAGTTTCTAAAGCAGTACTACTGGTTAATAAAATAACTAAAGAAATTTTCAAAGATAACATAAATAGTTAGAAAAAAAGTACGATAATATATATTAAGTATAAGTAAAGCTAGTACTAGTAAATAATAGTAAGAGATAAAGTTAGAATAGTATTTGTAGATAAAAGTACTAGTAATATTATACTAAATATACTAAAGGAAAACTAATGATAGAAGTAGTAGGAAGTACTTAATAGTAGATAGTAAAAATACTGACAGAAATATTATTAATAATAATAATAATAATAATAATAATAATAATAATAATAATAATAATAATAATAATAATAATAATAATAATAATAATAAATTCTCAAATTAGTAACAAAATATTTAATCTGAAGTAGATGTATGTCAATCCCCGGAAACGGCGCCAAAAATTTGACGAGGCCAATGTGTATTGGAATTTTCTGCCGTACTCTGTCAAATTCTAATATAGTTTATGATATTGTCCCACAGAGACTGGATAATCTATGCTACAGACTTGTAATATTTTAACTACTATTTGAGAGAATCAAATTAATAAAAAGTGAGTGAGGTTTAAAACTTGTTAATTACTTAAACAAAACAAATAACTTTTGGAAGATTTATAATTAAAAAAAAAGAGTTGGGAATCATTGAATTCACTTGATAATATTACTATAATAAAATCTCAATTTCTACATTTAAATCTCTAAAGAATAATTGCTTATTTTTAATACAATTATATTTTGCTCACTATGAAATAACCAATCAATAACACTCCTTGAGAATTATGTTAATTAATCAATTTAAGACTAGTGATGTTTAAACCAAAATATTTTTCTTGCTTGAATTGTGCTAAAAGAAAGTAAAAACTTCGTGAGAATATTTTTACCAAGGATCAATAATCTTGCCTACAACAATTCCTCCGTGAGAATTAAAACTAAGGCAAGCAAGATTACTGACTTGAATAATAGTTTACTGAAAAAATTATTTCCACACTACTAATTTATTTATCAGTTATTATATATTAATTTTGCTCCGCGAGAATTACCAAATTAATATATGAATAACTTAGAGATAAAATATATAGATTTGATGATAGAGTAATTAAAAACCATCATTTCAGCACAGTATGAAATGTAAATAAAAAGTTTCAAGCCAAGAATATATAAAAACTAAGATAATACTATAAAATATATCAAGCTTCATCAACTATCCCAAAATAAAGAAATTAATCCATTATGGAGTAAGAAAAGCTAAAAAGGATATTTAGAAGACTAGAAATATTTTTACTATAAGGAAAGAAAAGAAAGAAAGACCAAGACTAGTTCTTGTCTAGCAAAGATTGGATCTCCTTTATACAAAGAGAGCTTGCTATTTATAGGAAAAGATGAGTAGCTTTTGTCATGTTCCACTTTTGCGAATGTGAAATCCATGTATGCGAAGTGACCTTTGTGTACGTAGATTCTATATATGCAACTATGGCACTTGTGCTTCATTCTTGACTTCATGAGTTAGTCTTGCAAATGTAGGTTCCACGTATGCAAAGTGACCTTTGTGTACGTAGATTCAATATCTGCAACTATGGCACTTGTGCTTCACTCTTGGCTTCATAAGTTGGTCTTGAAAATGTAGATTCCATGTATGCGAATGTGACCTTTGCAAATATAGATTCCACGCATACATCTATGACTCTTTTGCTTCCATTCTTGGATTCATGCAAATGTAGGTTCCATGTATGCAAATGTGAAATTTGTGTATATAGATTCCACATATGCATCTATAACTCTTTTGCTACCATTCATGACTTCATAGGTTAGCCTTGCAAATGTAGGTTCCATGTATGCGAATGTGACCTTGCGTATATAGATTCCGCATATGCAACTATACTCCTTTTCATCTCTAATTTTCTCTATCCATAAGCCCATATGTATATTCCACATTTGTGAATATGAAGATGATGTGTGCAATAGTGGCTTTGCTTCATTCTCTTGTCTTTTAGCTTCTTTCCTTATTTTTCATAATTTCTTCTTCCTACAAGATTTGTTTAAAAATATGCGAGGATAGGATATTATTATTTATATTTTATTTTAAAAACTTATTTTTTACATATGAAGTTACATGAATAATATATATCCATCAAACCCCGGTTCCTTCCTTCCTACATTACAATCGAGATGACGAGTCAATTGAAAACATCACATTTGTCACGTCGTTCTAACCTTAGACACGTGTCAGCCGCCGGTTGACTGTCTTCGAAAGTGAAACGTCGCGTATTGATTGTGCTTCCTCTATATAAGGCTTCGACCCTTTTTCACTTCTTCCACTTTCTGGTTCCAGAATTTACCCTCAAACTCTCCAATTGCTTTCAATCCCCATACATTCTCTTTGGATGTTCAAACCAGACCTTCATACCTTCATCCCATCTTCAAATTTCATATCGTTTCTTCAAACCTTTATACTTTTCCTTCAAATCTTCATATTTTTCCATATTACGATGGCAAAAACTTTCAAGTGTGTGCCTCAACAAACTGCTCCTTCATCTTCCAACCCGACCATAGATGCCGAGGTGGCCGTTCCCGAGGCGGCTCAAAAGCCCCCTATGAAGAGCTTCGTACTTGGGGGTTGCTCTATCAAGAACGACTTCCACATCGAGAAGGCCTCTAGTCAACATGACTGAGGCGATGGGGCATGACGATACATATGCTCGTTATTGAGGAAACATTACCCATAATCCAAGCAGACTGTAACTGGGAGGGAAAGGAAGTGGTCATCCCCGGGCCCAATGACGATATCACTACTCAAGTGGAGGGGTACTTAAGTGTTTACACTTACCCTTTCATGCTCACCCTGGTGGACCCCATAGTCATTTCCTTCTACAAAAGGTACGAGGTGTGTCTCAGGCAAATCCACCCGTCCTTTTGGAGGATAGTGATCCTCTTACGACATTTCGTGAACAATATTGAAGCCCCTCGGTTCACCCTCGACCACCTGCTTCGTCTATACAGTCCCCGTATCTTTTAAGGGAGGCTGATCAAGCTTGTCTGCCGAGCAAGCAAAGCTCCATTCTCGAGCATCGACGAGAACCGAGATCAAGGATGGCAGGGGAGGTTCGTTCAGGTGAAAAGCGAAGACCTCATCCCTTCTGAGTTTCTGTCGTTCCCAAATCGCATCCCGTAAGTATTTTCCTTCTCGAGTATTTGTCATTTCCCTTTGTTCTTTCTCCTATTGCTTATGTTTGCCGCCATGTAGCTATTGCCCAAGTTCCCAATTCAGTTCCACCTTCAATGAGTGGATCGAGGGGATCTGAAAACAGATGCCATACTTCGAGCGCGCATGGAGCAAGCTCTCGAAGGGAAAATGGGAGGCATGTTCCCATGGTGAGGTCCTTTCTTGAATAGTTACTTTTGTACTTTTAGCTTACTCATTGCTGAGTCTCCTTCCTTTCTTACAGATTTTCCTAAAATCACCGAATTTAGGCAATTGGATGAGGACGAATATCCGTCCTTGCTTTCCGAACCCTCCGCTTCAGAACATCCCGGGGCCGCCGCAAAGAAGGAGAAAAACAAGAAGATAAGAAAGTCCTCGGGTTCTACAGACACCAGGGCGAAGAAGAAAAAAGTGACCATCAGGGTCTGGAAGAGCAAAAAGAGTACCAAGTCTAGGGTACAGACTCTGACTCCCTCTAGCGGCTCAGGGATTATCCCGACCACAACCTTGAATTTGTTACTCACGGGTCGACCCTCAATGAGGGGGAGCAGGCGACGACCAGGAAATAGGACCATGAGGTAGATCGACCTCTAACTCGGGAACCAGATGAAAGTACAAGAGGGGGGTGAATTGTTGACTATTTAAAATTTAGTCGCTAACACAAGTATTAGTTGACTGACCAAAACTCAGAATGAAAGTAAGTAATAAAGAAAAGTAAATAACACACAGCGATTTATACTGGTTCGGTACCATTGTGGTACTTACATCCAGTTTCTCTTGGGTCACAAGGGTTCCCTTATGATCTTTGAATAAGTTAAAATACAGATGGTCTTAACGCGTTCACCACCAACGAACAGTATCAACACTTAAGTTCAGAATAGTTGACACAACTCTCTTTTGTGTTCTAGATCTCCCTATCTTTTGAGACACTGATAACTAAAGATTACAGTGTTTGAACTAAGAAGTAGATAGACTTAGAATACAATGTGTGTAGTTGCATAATCTTCTTCTTGAGGGATCAGCCTTCTTATAGGAGAGAAAAAAGCCGTTGAGTCTTTTGCGAAATCAGAGGCACAAGATCTTTAATTAAGGGATTTGACCGAAGGGGTGCCTCTTCGAATCTTACTCATCTTGCTCTTTGACGAGCCCAGATTCGAATGTGACCTTCCTTGTCACAGCTTGATTCAAGGAGACGTTTACGCCTAGACAGCTTAATTCACGAGCGCGATCTTCTTAATTAGATAATCTATGATTGGCAATCTGAGTTCCCTTGATTGAGGACAAGTCAATCTGCTTCCTTTGATTGATCATTAATGCAGTAACAGCATCTTCATTCTTTCCTTACTTGCTATTTTGAATCCAGTAGCAATCTTGCTGAGCATCTTCATTCTTTCCTTTTTGTTTGTCTTGTAAATAACATAAGACAATATTGTCATCATTGAAAATTAACTTTAAACCTATCAATCTCCCCCTTTTGATGATGACAATCAAGAAGGAGTAAACAATGTAAAGTAAATTAAGATACTTCCCTTTTAAGGAGTTGCGCCCCCTCAGCTAGTTGTTCCCCCTGAGCTGATGCTTCCCTTGAAATTATGTTGTTCCTATATTCCCTCCTGTCCTATATTCCCT